TATGTGCTTACCAGGGCTTGGTAGCCCAAGACTATATAAGCTTGTTGAAGAATACATTAGCTCTCTCTCTGGTTCCAGTCTCCATGGAAGAGGTGATCCCTTGCATGCCTTGACTGATGTTTCTTTAATTTACCCTTCAATTACACAATTGCCCCTTAGGACCCTTTCGTTTGTGAAGGCAGGTCCCCCACACTTGATGCATTTTCCATGGTACAATGTCTATATTTTTTGCTTTCTTCTCTTTTTAACACGGTCTTTTTCAAAACGAAACAAAACAGACTCATTGCCATTGAGTCAATTTTGACTCATACTACAAGATCAGCTTAGATGAGGTTTTCTACTTCCACAAAGATTAATATTCTCAGAAACCCACAGGGTCAGTTCTCCTCTGTCCTATATGGTCACTATGTGAATCTGGTGTTTAGCTTTTTTCATATTAAGAGTGGTGCTGTGGTTTAAGGATAGGGCTACTAACTGAAAGGTAGGTGGTTCAAACCCACCAGGAGAAAGATGATGCTGCCTGCAGTCTCGGAAACCCTACACAAGTTCACTGTGAGTTAGAATCGACTCACCAGCAGTGTTATTTTCTGGTTCCTTGGCCTTCACTTTTTCCCTTTTCTATACCTGATTACCCATTCCTCCTTCACTGCTACAACTCATCCTGACCTTCGCCCCTCCCTGTGGGGAAGGCCAAACCCAAAAGCCTATAGGAGCTACACAAATGTGTGAAGCAAGGAGAGCATACAGCAATTCAGAGTGGGGATGGTGGTGGGGAGTAGGGGTCAGGAAGGTGGCTGTGGTGGCCAAGTTGTGCTCATAAATAACTGGGGAGGTGCAAATCCCACCTAATGACACTCATATTTAATTTTTAAACATATTACAACCTAACAACACAAGAGGACGTAAAAAAATTCATGGAAAATTTCCACTATCTTTTCATTTCATTTTCCTATGAACATTTTGAAGCCCCCTCATGTATCTGAGGTCCCAAAGTCCCACACTGCCAGCTTATTTCCTGAAATAGAATAGATGACTATTCGGGGAGGGAGGGGAAAAATGAGGACCTAATGTCGGGGGTTTAAATGGAGAGAAAATGTTTTGAGAAATGATGTACAAATACGCTTTACACAATTGATGTGTGTATGGATTGGGATAACAGTTGTATGAGCCCCTAATAAAATGTTTAAAAAATTAAATTAAATTAAAAAAAAGAAGGAAAAAAAAAAAAAAAGAATAGATGACTATCAACTAGATTTAGCCTAACTATATTTCATTCACATTCCAGTCCTATGTCATATTTAGCTCACCTTAGTCAATGGTTTGAATTGTACTACATTCCTTAGTTCATAAACTTTCGGTTTACTGTGATAAATAATAAATCATATCCATTGAGAGAAGATTTTACTACTTTAAAGCCTCTGAATTCTAACTGGTACCCCCCTAGACAGCAAAAAGGTATCCCCATTCTCACAACTATTTACAAAGTTGCAAATTAACTACCTCCCAACTCACTCCAAAGTTCATGCCCTCTCTGCTCTTTCTGTACTATCTTAAAATCTACTCACTGGCACTGAATCAATTCTGATGCATAGTGACCCTAGAGAGGGTTTATGAGGATGTTAAGTCTTTATAGGTGCAGACAGCCTCATCTTTATCCCAACGAGCAGTGGGTTTGAACCCCCCATTTTTCAAATAAAAAATAAACCTTATTCAAAGAGTTGCCCTTAGCTACTGAGATGTGATCTCTGGGCCTATGGAATATCATACCTTGATAGGAATGTCTTTGTTTGCCCAAGGGCCTTGGACAATGTGATTTATGGTGAGAACTTTGGCCCACGGAATATCTGCCTGACCTCCAGAAAGAACTGGAGACTAATAGGTCACACACATGAGCTATAATCAGCCCTAAAGAAAATTCTGGGTGTACTGCTTGGTGAGCTTCCCTAATTAGCAATACTCCCCTCCATGGCTGTCAACTGAGAAATGCCATCTATGACCCCATGAGGAGAGAACCCTCCTAGACTCTGCATATGTATTTCTTCTCTCAACTGGTTTTAATTTGTAACCTTTCCCTTTAGTAAGCCAGCAATGTGAGTATAACAGCTTTTAGTGAGTTCTGAGAACACTTCCAGTGAATAATCTACTTAAGGTTGGTTCTGAAATCTGCAACTGGTGTTAGATGAGAGGGCAATCTCTTGTGAGAACTGCATCATCTAACTTTGTGGTTGGCCAATTCTTGCACTCAGTCTGAAGTGACGAGATTCTAATAATAAACAACTGACTTCCCATAATATGAAGAGCCCTAGAAGGAAAAATAGCTGTTCCAGAGGTCCATTAGTTACTTATAAATTTATAGTTCCTTTGGCTTTTTCATAAAGAAATCTGACTGCCTAATCAGCAGGTTTGCTGGTAGCTCCAGACAATTCTTCACTAAATTAAGATTCTACAATCTGGTCCATTGTTAAATATTATCTAAGACATTCAGGATGATTCTTATACCCATTCAAGTTAATTGTATGATTCATTTATAGTTGCATTCGATTCTAAAACTTCTGTTGTTAGATATCCTTATTCTCTTCCGAATGTCCTTTGTATATTGCATCCTGCTATTCACAGTCTTATTCATTATGACAACTTGAGCTGTCTGTCATTCTCAATGAATTTACCTAAATTCATCTACGTTCTTATGCCATCTGTTATGAAAAATCAAAGAGAGCCAGCAGCTTCCTCTTTCCATCTTTTCATGTTGCACTGTTTGCTGGGTATCTCAACATAACCGCCAGTTCAAAGACTACTTCACTGACCACGTCTAAAGTAGTAGATTCTTATTTCATGACACTATTTTTCCATAATTGCTACTGCACTGTTTGTTTCCTTCATGTTGATTATGCAACCTGTAATTATTTCATTTGCTAACTTTTTACAAATCTTAGTAGATTAGAAATGTTTTAAAGGCAAACTAATGGTGAAATGCTTTCTAGATAAACCTTTTTAAAAAAAATTTATGTATTGTCCCAAATATCTCTACCTAACTATAAATTTATCTAGGCCAACTGGTCTTGTTACTGGAACAAAACAGAGTATCAGCCTTTAATGGTTTCCCATGATCTAATGGACCAATCAAAGGCCTTCAATGTCTGGCTTACTTTCCTGCCTCATCTTCTGTCACTACTCCCATAAATCCTACTCACAAGTCACAGACCTAGTTGTTACAAGAGGGCTTCAAAAAGTTTGTAGAAAGTTTGTCCCATTAGCTATTAATTCCATTTTTTTACTTTTCAGAGTCTCTTCGTATCTGATAACTCTGGATCCTTTTAAATCCCTATGCGTCTGCATGAGGTAACTACTCTGTTGGAATGTCTTCTCCAACTTTTCACAAATTCTCCTACTCATCCTTCCTTCAATCTTACTTCCTCCTTGAGGGTATTTGTTGGCCCCTCCTCTGGTGTCCTCTATCTCTATTTAAAAAATAATATAGTAAGCTATAAATATTTGTCTCACTCCTTAGACTACTAATTCCTGGAGGGTAGAGGCTATGTATTAGCCCTATCCAGTTTATAACACATAATGGGAGATTATTTAGAAGGTACAGAGAAAGACACTTTTGAAGCAACCACTACAAACAAAGTAAACAGGGTTATAGTTATTGAGTAAATAAATGTTTATTAAGCATCTATTGAGTGCTTGAGAATATGATGCAGTCCCCACTCACTTAAGAATTTATATTCTACTGAAAGAGACAGATTTTAGAAAAAGTTAGTAAACAAAATAATTATAAATTATATAATAAACATGAAGGAGATAAACAGTGCAGTAAAAGTTATGAAGGAATAGTGTTGTGAAATAAAAAATAACAAGGAAGCTACTCCTTTAAAGGAGTCTTTGAACTGACAATTGTGTTGAGATACTAACATGCAATGGTTCTGAGGTAGGAAAGAATTTTCCTGATCCAAGGAATTCAAAGAGTGGTACAGAGTGACAAGGAGAGGAATGGCAGAGGTAAGGGCTAGATCAGGAAAGGTATTTTAATCTAAGTTCAATGGAAAATACAATAATTGGAAGATTCTAAGCAGCAGAGTAGCATGAATCAACTTCAAAAGATTTTTCTTGCTGTTGTGTGAAAAACAGATTGAAGGAAGGCCCTAAGAAGCAAAGATCACTGCTGTTGGGATTGACTTCATTTTAGGGCAAATGGTCTAATTCTGCTTGCATTTGGTTCAGTGTATTTCCTCTTCGAAAAGGCTTGTGATTAAATTCGTCAAGCTTCTCATTCTCATCCTTAGTTTCATAAATTAGCACCCAGAGTATGAAGTCTCTTGAAGCCTCATCAATACTAAAGCAAGCATTATTAGTAGCCTTATAAAGTCGAATTGGGTTTTAGAGTTAACTAGTTTGCCTCAGTCATTCACCTAGCAAAAACCTATTTATTTCCTTCCAGTTTTGAGTGAGGAGCCTTCAGCATTTACAAGAAAAATGAAAACCATTACCCTAAAGAAACCACCCACTACTTTCCATTACGTGAATTCAGGAAGAAGGTGTGATAGATTCTATGTCAACTTGAACTTGTTTGAAAGTTGGGATGGAGGCCAACATATAGATCAGGTCACAGCTTGATGATACCTGTTTATGAGTGTGGTCTTTTGATGAGAGACACAAAGAACGAACTCTCTCTCTTACTCCTCATGCCTGAGGCTGGTGGACCATGTAGTCTGCCAAGTCTCGGAGCTGTTACACTCTGCCATGTTTCTGTAGATCCACATGACTCTGCACCCATATCCAACACCCTGTGATCTCCCAGCTTCCTGCTTTGCCTTCCTGCTTCATCCACAGAGAGCTGGATGAGTCTGAGGGTTTCCAGTTAACATCGGACCCAGGGACATGAGTTAGACTGGGCTGGGTCACTTTCTTAATATGAAATTCTTTCTTGATATAAAGTTCTTTCTCTGTCATTTTATTCAGTAAAACTTTATTGTTCAAAATATACAGTTGGTTGGACCTACTCATGAATCTTCACTGGCCGCCCGGGCATCTTCGTCCTTGGTGTTCCTGGGATAAAGTACCTGAACTCTGTGTTTTGGAACCAACTTGATAAGTCCTTTACTAAGCAGCTCCTGCAGGGCTGCGTGGCCAGGGAACCGTGACTCTTCAGGCTCTGAGACAACAGCTGGAGTGATCAGCTTACAGCTGGGAACTTCTTTACAGAGCTCATCATCTGTGACTTTGTCAAGCAAGTCCAGGTTATTCAGCTTGTCTCGAATTTTGCCTTTGGTCCACTTCTTGGCCTTGCACCCAGATTTGTTCACTAGGTCTTTGTCTTTCTTGGCCGACTTCCCAGGATCCTTCATCTTATCATCCTTGTATATCATCATGAAGCTCAAAGAGCAGCTATTACTGGAGCAGCCTTGCTAAGATGTCAGACAAAAAAAGCAAGTTTTTTCTTTTATATATATCCTCACAATGACAACACCGGTTTCGCTTCTCTAGAAAACTAAGTCCAACTCAGACGGTTTTGGAAGAACAGAATATATGATAATGTTGCTAAGGTTTTTCAAAGGTAAAGAGATAGGAAAAACAAATAATGTTTAAATACTATCACGAAAAAGTATACGAGGGGGTACCCCCCCAAACAAAATGGAAAAAAGCTCTAATGGGTGGAGCTTTCGTAGTATGAATTTTTCCCACTAGGCGATCGAGTAACTCGCTCTGAGTTAGTGCACCCAGTGGTGCCATCTGGGAAGGTTCTCTCTGGTCACAATGAATTTTTTCATAAAAGCAGTTTTGCTCGAACCTCGTTTTTTTTGTGATGTCTGAGTTAAGAGAAAAGCATGTGGCTGTGAAATTTTGTTTTCTGCTTGGGAAAAATGCTGTAGAAACTGTTATGCTGTTGAACACAGCTTACAAGGACATCGCTGTGGGGAAAAACTCAAGTGTACAAGTGGTTTTCTCATTTCAAAAAAGGTGAAATGTCGATTGATGACAAACCTTGTACTGGACATCCATCAACTTCCTGAACAAATGAAAATGAGCTTGAAGACCAACGAAAGACCACTGAAGAGTTGGGGAAGTTATCTGGATTATCTTGCAACTCAGTTCAGCGAGTTTTTACAGAAGATTTGAGGATGAGAAGGGTTGCTGAGAAATTTTGCCTTGGTTTCTAAGTGACCAGCAAAAAAAAGCATCAAGTGGAAACATGCTATGCTTTGAAAGAACAGCTCAGAATCGACCAGAAATTTTGTTCCCTAAGGTCATTACTAATAACTCCCTCAGGATCAATATTGAAAGTAGCCATACCAGGAGGAGAAAGGGAAGGGGGAACCGATCACAATGATCTACATATAACCCCCTCCTAGGGGGATGGACAACAGAAAAATGGGTGAAGGGAGACATCGGTCAGTGTAAGACATGAAACAATAATAATAATAATTTATAAATTATCAAGGGTTCATGAGGGAGGGAGGGTAGAAAGGGAGGGGGGAAAATAGAAGCTGATAGCAAGGGCTCAAGTAGGAAGAAAATGTTTTGAAAATGATGATGGTAACAAATGTGCTTGACACAAGGATGTATGTATGGATTGTGATGAGTGGTATGAGCCCCCAATAAAATGACATACATACATACATACATATATAAATCAGGAACTACACTACACAATGTTTCCCAGGCAAAACCCATCCCCTTTCCACCATCCTTCCATCTTTTACTAAGCAAAGTAATGATGGCATAAGGTCTTAGGTAGGAGTTTCTAGCCCTACTTATCAACAAAATTATCAACATTCATACACTGTTGCTGTTGTTAGGTGACATCAAGTTGGTCCCAACTCATTGCAACATTATGTATGATAGTATAAGGACCACATGGAGATGTCATCACACAGACTTTGCATATGTTGTCAGGGGAAGCCAGTTCCCTGGAGAAGGACATCATGCTTCATAAAGCAGAAGGGGCAAAGAAAACGAGGAAGACCTTTGATAAGATGGACTGACACAATGGCTTCAACAATGGGCTCAAACATAAGAACAATTATGAGGATGGTCCGGGACCGGGCAGTGTTTCACCATGTTGTACATGTGGTTGCTATGAATCAGAACCGATTCAAAGGCACCTAACAACCTCATTCTCCGATCAATCTGGTCAAACATTTAGTTAACTCACCCCTAATGTGATTGCTGAAACTATTTCTCTTTGGTGGTGAGATGTGTAATGTTAGCTGGTATAGATGAACATTCATGGGTCTAATAAAGCCCATGGACTAGACATTCCCTACCCCTGACAAAGTGACTGCTTTGTTTATCAACTCTCCAAAGAGGTTTTTTGCAGATTTATCAAATGCAACATGTTACTTATTTGATTTTTTTTCTCCCCCTTTTTTGTTTGGCTGAAAAGTCAAACCACAGAAATGAACTCAGTCCTAGGTTTGAAGAATAATTAAGGGTCAGTCTCATGAGTACCAATAATCTCTATCACACCAGAAAGCCTAATCTTTTGTTCAGATGGGTTGGCTAATAATAAGGTGGTAAAAAGACCTGCTATGGTGAGTTACACTTGGGCTGTGTTCCTAGACTAAAATATCAAGCCAAAGAGACAGAAAGGCTCAGAGTCTTACAAAGAGAAAGCAATGGGTCGTCAGCCTCTCAGATGACTTTGCACATATCTCACTAAGAGATTCTCTCTTATTTCCCATGGTGAAACTGAAAACATTTCAGACAGACATAACTATCTGCAAGAGTTTGTATATGCAGAAGGATTTCTATGCTGCTCAGAGTCATGAGTTCATTTTCATTTGCCAGCAAAGAGCCTATAAGTACCAACTTGTTAAATATGTGTTAATAACTATTTGAGTATTTATTTTAGGAACCATTCAAGCACTCTAAGGTTAATCTATTCTTGCTCCCATTATGTTGAGTATCTCTCAGCTAAACTTACTCACTGTCATCAATACTAACTGCCATCAGGTCAATTCTGACTCACAGTAACCCTAGAGATCAGAGTAGAAAACTGCCCTTGTGAGTTTCTGAGGCTATAAATCTTTACAGGAGCAGAAAGCCTCATATTTCTCCAATAGAGTGGCTGGTGAATCCAAACTGCTGTAACCTATTATGCTACCAAGGCTCCTTAGTACTTACATAATACAGAAATGTTGACTAAACTAGTAATTTTATAATATAGACTATCCATGATGAACTATCATACTAGGTAGGTAGGTATAATACTCAGTATTCAGAGGATAACATGAGATGTTACCAAAACCTGAAAATATGGTTATGGCAGGTTCCTGTTTTGTTTTTTTAATAGTTTTATTAGTACTTCATCTACATATCACACAATTCAATCATATCAATTAGAGTTGTACAATTATCACCACATTCAATTCTAGAACATTTTCTTCATCCTTGTCCTCGTTATTCATGAAATTATTTTATTTTTCAAAAAAATTTACTTTATTTTTCAAATTGTGGCAAAAATATACACAATAAAATATTCTCCAATTCCACAACTTCTATATGTATAATTCAGTGCCATTTATTATACTCTTCATGTTGGTCCAACCATTACTGGGATTTGCTAACTTATTCCCCCACCATTAACATAAGGCTCCAGCTTTTTAGCCCTCAGTAGCTATGGGTCAGAATTTACTCCATGGCAGTTCTAAGATTAGGCTATCTACACTGTGAAGTCATAGCTGAACTGAAATTTAGGAGAAAAAAAGTTGAAAGCATGTGCTTGCAGAAAAGGAGTGATATTCATTTTGCATTCAGCAAATATTTACTATCTACTGCATTCTAGGCACCACAATAGGTAATCAAAAAACAGACAAATACAGTCTCAGCCCCCATGGAACTTACAGTCTACTAGTGAAGAATGACCACGAACAAGTATATTACAATTGTGCTTAGTGTTGTGAAAGGGAAAACTAATCTAGGGCTTTGTGTCTTTGTTCCCCTAATCTAGTTTTTAACGAGAGACTGGAAGAACAAGATGTAAGGCTAAAAGGCTGGTAAGATGTGCCTTAAGTCTCCAGGACCATTCCAGGGGAATTTTAAGAATCTTGCTGCTCCTCTTATAAAGTATGTCCTGATTGTATAGCTATGTATCAGATCTCAGGAAACCTGATAAGCTGCACTACAAGTAATCAATCTTCCTATCTGAAAGGGATACACAAATTATCTAAAACCTGCATATAAATCAACTATAGTTATATTTCATAGTCTATAAATTACTAAATTGACATTCTGGTCTATAAACCAATATTTTGGGTGATTATGGTTAATGAGTTAATCCTTTGGGCCTGATCATTTCTAGATGGCAAAGAATGGTGCTAAAACTAAATTTCTGGAGGAATGACTGATGGCTGACCCTAGACTAGGATTGGCCAACAATCAGCCAGCCAGCCTTTTCCTACCTATGATATCTAGTTTGTGATTTCTGTAACAGCAATAAATATCAAGAAGTAGAGGAATGATTTAAAAGTCTGTTAAGTACTTGAGCATGGGAAGAACTCATCGTCATTAACAGAATGAACATTAAGCTTCAATAGACTCTACATCAAGTGGCTGAGTTGCAAAAGAGGTTTTCAGACACACAAAAAGTTCCTCCCAAAACGTGTGTGTAGGATACACATACATACCCGCACTCAAGGCAATACCAGAGCCACGGTGGCAAATGGACATCATCATGGGAAGGGACCAACTGCAAAGATATACCACAAATAATTAAAAAGGCAATTTAAAAAGATGACACAGTAGAGAATCCATCTTAGCAAATAAAATATAACTGATTTCTGAAACAGTCACGATTAAAAACAAAAACAGCTTTCACATCCCAGTTTTCACTTTCTAATATGACTTATTTAAGCAGTATCTCTCTTTCAAAGGCCGCACCACTGAAAAAGCTGAGGAGGCAACATCGTAACACAAATTCTTCTTTACATACAGTATAAGGCAAAAAAACCCCACACAAAAACATGGATCAAACATACCAATTACAGTTACTACAGTTAGAATGTACTTACTAAAATGCAACCACATGGGTTTTCCCAGTTGTAACACTTAAGTAGAAGAAAACCCGAGAGTTTTATCTATTATATACACCAAAATGCCCAAATATGGCATGGAATTTTTCCCTAATGAAATACTATTCCAAATTGTCAAATTCCATTTTGCTGAATTTATCACGCTTTAAATTTTTTTTAAATTTAAATTGTATTTATTATTTTTGTTTGTTTTTTTTAATTGTATTTATTTTTAAAAATCATTTTATTGGGGGCTCTTACAACTTGTACCAAGCACATTTGTACAATATCACACACTTCTTAATCCACAAGGAACCCTAGTGGTGTAGTGGGTAATACATTAGGCTGCTAACTACAAGGTCAGTAGTTTGAAACCAGCTGTTCCATGGGAGAAAGATGAGGCTTTCTACTCCTGTAAAGATTTATAGTCTCTGAAACCAACAGGGGCAGTTCTACCCTGCCCTATAGGATCACTATGAGTCCCAATCAACTTGATAGCAATGGATTTGGTTTTGAGTTCTACAGTATTTTTAAAATACTGCCATCAATTCCCATTTGGAAACTGTTTTGAATTATTTTTCAAAGCCTTTTAATGCAAGGGCAACCAAGCCTGTTATTCAGAAGCTAGTTCTCATGCTCAAGAGGGAATCTTTATAAAAGACCAGACTTACTGGTCTGATAAGAGACTGGTGGAACCTTTGGCATGCTAGTCCATAGACAGCTTTAAACCTGTAACTAGACCCACTCCCAGAAATCACTTTTCAACCAAGAAATAGGCAGACCTATGAAATAACATCAATGAGGAACTTGCTCCTCAGAATAATTAACCACACAACACAAAAGGCAGCATTTGCCCCAAATCAAAATTTGGATGGTTGAAAGAGGCAGGAAAGATGGGTGAACAGGAAAAGGGAACCAGGAAGAAATGGGAAAGGGCTGTTATAAGGTGGGGATTCCAACAAATGTCATGAAACTTAATATGTATAAATTGTTGAATGGAAAACAATTTGCTCTGTAAACTTTCACCCAAACCACAGAAAATAGAAAAGAAAAAAAGTGGAGGGTAGTGTCTGTTGGTGAAAGGAAGAAAAAACCAAAACCAGGAGTCTTTGGAGCAAGGAACATTTGTCTTGGAACGTCAGCTTAGGCAGAGTATGCTCAGCATAGTCAGACCACATACTCAGAACTCCAAAGGGAAGAAACTCAAAGTTGAAATAATCTCAAAAAGAAACTACATAATGAAGATGTTCACAGTAAGAGAGGCGTGATGTCTGCAGACCTGAAATAAAACAAAAGGCTAGACCCGTTCAGTACACTCAGATCACATGATCAATATGAAAGGAAAACAGAACAGCCACACAAGCCAAGGAAGAGCAGAGAACAATGGCAGATATTAGTAGGAATAATCAGGAGCCTAAAATCCAGAATGAGCAAAACATGCAAAATTACGGACAACAGAGGCTTTTACAACAGCTCAATTACTTTATTTGTTAAAGAGAACACTTCTCGGACTGAAAACACACAAGATAAACCCACTGGCCACCAAGTCAACTTCAACTCGTACTGACCCTAGATCCTTTAGGCCAGAGAATTTTTCCCTGGGGCTTTTGAGAGTGTAAATCTTTATGAGAACACGCAGCCTATCTTTCTCCCTGGAGTGGTTGGTCTGATTCGAACTGCTGACTTTAAAAACAAAACAAAACAAAAAACAGTTTAATTGGCACTTCATCCATATCATACAATTCAATAATCCAATCATATCAAGAGTTGTATAATCGTCACCACAATCAATTCTAGAACATTTTCTTCTTCTAGCACTCGTTGTTATTCATGTAATTTTTTTTTAGTAATTGTGGCAAAACTATACACAACAAAACATTCTCCAAGTCCACAACTTCTACATGTATAATTAAGTGCCATTATTGGTATCCTTTTCCAAATTATTCTGCCACCAATAACATAAACTCAATGTCCCCTAAGCAAAAACTCTTCCTCCTTCACCCATGGTCACCATCGATCAAGTTTGTTTGTTTAGTTTTCTTGATATAATATTCATATCACACACTTCCATAATTAAATTGCTTTTAAAAGTTGTATATACATCTTCACAATCAGTTCTGATGCTCCCCACCCTCCTGCATTCATTTTTTGCTCTCCAAGTCCCTCACCCTCACCATCCCACGCCTCACAGTGCATCTCAATAAACCCTCACATCAGTTATTGTCTCTATGCACCCACTGCTGTGCTTCACGAACTGGGAAACCCAATAGAAACAATAACAAACAAAAATAAAACATCAAGAAGAAAAGACCACCATTAATATTTAAAAAGCCAGAGAAATTTCTGTTGTGGAACAAGTGAGAAATATTTGAGCCTAGAGCAAATTCAAGTTAGGTCAAGAGGGAGGTCAACTGACCAACTATCATACAATCCCATAATTTGATTCAACATAATCTGATAGTAAAGCTGTTGGAGTCCCTGACCTTTGGCTAGAGGGGATCTGCCAGAGGCTCAATCTGACTAGACACTCTGCAGATGGATTTTGGGTTCCCACTGTCCTCCATAGCCTTCTACAAATTGGGTGTTCACAATTTAAGCTTGGATACTTTGGGATTTTGTTATCATATTTGGCTCACAAACTGGTGAGCTTCCCCAATGTGGACTTAGTTGATGCGGCACTTAGATGGCTGCTTGTTTGAATACAAGCCTTTACAACGCAAACACTATTCCAGTAGTGACAGGCGGGCACTGTGCTTTCTTTACCACATTTTGCTGTAGCACCCTATCTTCAGTAATCTCTTCATGGAGGAATTAAACTGCCAGACTTTGGGGTTAGCAGCCCAACAGTAATCTGCTACACCCTCAGGGCTCTTTTCAAATGCAGAAAGGCAGAACAAACATTGATGAGAGAATTGAATCCTTACAGAGGGAGGAACTTATAATTCCCTAATGTATTCAGGACTTCAGGTTCAGACAAATTAAATCCCATGATTCAAAGAGTTTCAGATGAAATCTATTTCTGAGTGGTGTGAGGAACTGCTGAAATCAAATGTTGTCTTACTTTTAAAAAATGGACAAAACATGAAAAAACAGAAAGAATATACCCTAGGGTTAGCATAGTATTGAGAAGGTAGGAGGGCTTTTATTTTCTAAAAAGAACCACAACGTATTTCCATTCCCACATGATCTTCCTCCATCTTGCAACTCCTCACCAGGTGAGTTTCTACTCCTCTTCTTGAACCTGGGAAGGACTACATGATTTCCAATACAGCTGCGTTCTCTTTCTCTCTCATGCATGCACATGTGTGTATGAGTTTCCAAAAGCTTATGAAAAAATGGAATTATACAGTAATGGCATTTTGTGTTGTCCATCCCCCAGGGACGTTATATGTAGATCCTTGTAATTGGGTGCCCCTTTGCACCCCACCCTCCCTCCACATACAATAATGGAATTTTCTATGAACTTTAAAAAAACCCCTTGTGTGTACATACATATATAAAACCCAATTTCATTAGATATTTTATGAAAGCCTTTGACATGATCAAATAAGACCAAAACAAAAGGGAAAAAACTTCAAAGTATTAAAGATAATCAAACAGATCATTACTAGCCCCAACAAGGGAAGAGAGGATACTGTGTCCATAAAATAAGAACAGGATGTTATAAAAGAGGAATATTTATTTTAAAAAGCTTTTGAGAATTAATGAAAGACATTAACAAAAAGGTTGGGATACAAACTCGAGGGACTTTACCAGGAAATGGTTCAAAATACAAAGAGATTTCTGAAGGATAAAAGAATAAACTACAAAACTAGTCCAAGAAAACTGATATTTAACAAAAATGACAAAAAAAACACACCATAGAAATAAGAAGTTATCAAGTAAGAAAAAATTTCAATACTAAAAGATTCACATTTTTAGGTTAAAGGGGTGAATGAAAATCCACTGAATGCTAAAAGTCATTATTAAGATATCCCATTTTGAGACAGCAAAATTTAAGAGATTAAAAAAATAGCTTAAAAAATTTTTTTGAGAAAAAAGTCATATATAGAAGATCAGAAATCAAGAAGGTATCAAAAAATAATATAAGGTTAGAATAACATTTTCTAATAAAAACAAGAGGCCTTCAGAAAATTCATGGAAAAATTCCAAAATCTTTTAATTCCACTTATTCATGAACTTCTTGAAGCCCCCTCATAAGATCCTGCATTGTTTCTGGAGTATGTATTTCATCAAAAGAAGGGAGTAGAAAAAGGGAGCCAAGAAGTTCTAATACAGAAAAGGGGCAAAGGGAATTTCAAGGACTACACGGGTTACACACTCCCAAAATGGAAAAAGGCTCTTATGGTTGAAGCTTTTGTAGCAGTACGTGTTTTTCCTGCTAGGTGAGCATCGACCAATTTGCTCTGAGCTAGTGCACTCAGTGGTGTTGCCTGGGAAGGTTCTCTCTGGTCACATTGAATTTTCTCATAAAAGCAGTTTTGCGCGAACCACGTTTGTTTTTGTTTTTAATCATTTTATTAGGGGCTCATACAACTCTTTATCACAATCCATACATACATCAACCGTGTCAAGCATATTTGTACATATGTTGTCATCATCATTCTCAAAATACCTGCTTTCTACTTGAGCCTTTGGTATCAGAACCACGTTTTTGTGAGGGCCCATTTAAGAGAAC